CCCCATACATATAATTAAAAATAGAAGAATGATCATAACATAATGTACATTTCTCCTTAATATTGCTTCTTGTGTTGTAAACACATGAGTTTAAAACTATTTGAGATGAGTGAGTAGGTATGAAATATATTTGTTCTTGTGTATATAAGTTTTATAGCACCAGTAATCAATATTTGAGAGTATGCAGAGTATATTGTTATTGTTTTTAAAATATTCTATTTATCTTTATTTTATGAGTATAGTATAGCCTACATGTATGTAAATGTACCCATGTCATACAATGCCCATGGAGGTCAGAAGAGGGTGTTGGATCCCCTGGAACTGGAGTTACAGATGGTTATTCTCTGTCATGTGGATGCTGAGACTCAAACCTGGGTCCTCTGCAAGAGTAGCCACTAAGCCATCCCACCAGTCCCCAGAGTATATTATTGTACTAGTGTTATATAATGAATACATTTTCACTGTTTCCACTTTTCAATAGATTATATGACTATATGCTCTAAAAGACTGTATTGAACTGACTTGACATTTGTAGGATAGCACCATCCTTAATAAATGTCATTATATATCTATAATATATCAATGTTATTAGATTATTTACCCCTTTCATTGTGCTTGGTAGATGCACAATGGTTTTTAGATCTACCTTTGAGAGAAGCTACATTGTTTTTCATGTTTTTGTCCCAGAACTTTTTGATCTACTTTATTCTAAAGTGATAGGCAAGAATCATACCATATTCCCACTCAATTTTATTTATGTTAGAATGTGTAAGTGGGAGCTTATGCATTGTTTGCTCGCTTCAGCTTATTCATAGAAAAGTGAATAAGTTAAGGGTGTTATTTTTCTGATTAGAAAAATTTCATTCACAGTCTTTATGGAGAAATGTGCAAGGAAGAAAAATCACTGTGATTATTACTTAATGATAAACTTTTAAAAAGAACTTCCCTTCAATGGACATGAGAGTATGTGAATACTTTAAAAATGGACATTAGCCGGGAGTGGTAGCGCATGCCTTTAATCCCAACACTCGGGAGGTAGAGGCAGGTGGATCTCTGTGAGGTCAAGGCCAGCCTGGTCTACATAGTGAGTTCTAGGACACCTGGGGCTACAGGGAGACCCTGTCTCAAAAAAGAACCCCCCCAAAAAATAGACATTAATTCAATGTAAGCATGCATTTAAAAATATTCCCGGTGTATTGTAAAGTCTCTGCACTAAGTAATTAATAGTGTTACAGGCCTTGTTCACAGATAGGGAAGAAATTCTTGTGTGCTGTTGCACAGATGGGATCTGTAAGTAATATACTGTGTATTTCACAAAGCTGGAATGTTCCTGCCATAAATAAATGGTGTCAAGGGAGATAGTCATGTTGAACATGATTTAAGCATTGTGCAATATGTACATATATTGTGACATCATTTTATACCCTATAAATGTACAATTTTTATAGTTTTGTTTATCATACAAATAAGTTTAAAGTGAACAAAGCGATGTACAAATTAAGAAAAACAACAAAATCAGGGAAGGGCAATATTTGTGTGCCTCACAGGTCCCAACAGGTCCCAATGGGTTCTGTTACATATACTCTCTCTTTCAATCTTTGGTTCTTAGGTCATTGTCATGAAGAGGTCCCTGGGTGTTGGCTATGCTGCAGTGGACAATCCAGTCTTCTACAAACCAAACACGTCCATGCTTCTGGGTGACGCCAAGAAGACATGTGATGCTCTTCAGTCCAGAATTCGAGAGTCCTATCAGAAGTAAATACTGAAGATCAAGCTGTGACTTCAGTTGTAGAAATAGGCAAATAAAGCACGAGTGAAAGTGTCTGAAACACATCAGCGGCAAAGCTCTTAGAAGAAAAGACCCAAGAAAGCCTACCACATCAAGGGAGATTTTTCAAGAACGATGATCCCTTGATTTAAAAAAAGCATCAAAAATTCTACCTATGTATATATATATATTTGTGTGTGTTAAAAAGTAAAAAGTATTTTGTAAAAGTTAAAAAGAAAGCCTCATTTTTAGATGTGATCCTCTTTGATTCTTAAATTCCCTTTCAGTAGCCAGAAATGATTTCAAAAGTTGAATAGGATTTCAGGACATACTTTATACTTTGATCTGAAGAATATTACACAGTATGAATATTGCAGGCACCCACATTTAGTTTTTTTTTTTTTCAGGTAATGTGATTAATTTGAAACTTTTATCAACTCCTGACCTATGTTCTTACATGTTAGCCGTAGTCTGAATTGATCATATCAAATCTGTTTCAGGTTTTCAGATTCTAGATTTCAAGGATATATTTTCTTACTTCTATTTTAATACATAAAAGGACTAGACAAACTTTCAGAGATGCTGGAAACAAGTAATTTTACATCAAAGCAGTAGATAACCTTTCAAAATGCTGGAAACAATCTGCTTTGTATGTTCAATAAAATGAACTTAAAATTAATTAGTTGTGTTTTTGAAAACCCCATTTTCAATTGGAGATTTCTTTAATTTCACTCAACTTATAATGTGTGGTACTATATTAAGTGCACTAGAATGGAATTCAACTATTTGACTAATAAATGAGTTCATCATGTTTGCAAGTGATGTAGCAGTTGTCTAATTGAATAGTTCTGCTCATTATTAACATTGGGAGAAGACCTACTGAAATGAAATTAGTAGAATTAACTATATGCATTGTTTATAAGACTGGAGTGTTTCAAACCACAGTAACTTTTGGGTAATATGTAATTTGATGATATTCAAGAGAAATGGTAACAGTATTTTTTTAGCTAGCTCTTTAAGCACCAGTAGAAATGTCTTTTATAGAAGTCTGGATTTTCTTTGTGAATTTACTACTGTGTCAAAAATGCTAAATAGATATGAATGTGGCACATTATTAGGATATCTCTCATAATTAATTTGCTATTAAGTTTCCCAAAGCAATTATTAACTCACATAGGGCCAAGGACATAGCTTAGTCCTTAGTTGAGTGCTTGCCTCGAATGCCTAAGTCCCTGGGTTCAGTCTCTAGCACTGCAAAACAAAATAAACAGAACAATTATTATTTCATATAAAACTGTCTCTAAATCAGAAAGTGTTAGTGGTGGAAAACTTTCTCATTTTTACCAAGATTATAATGCCTATTGGTTTGATAAGCAAGTTCTGTTTTGCTGATCCTGAGATTCAGGATGTGGTAGGGTGGAGAGGTGGGAGGAGAACCTTAAAGCAGGAAAGATTCATTTTTAATTTATAAGAAATAAACACAATTTGCTGGTGGATTGAGGCCGTTAGTAACATCAGGACTGAAGTTTATCATAAAAGTTTCACCAGAAGAAATTAGAGAATATTCTTACTCATGCCCCTTTCCCTTCTTTTCCATTTGTTGTAGTATGTATATCTAGAAATTAGCAATTGATTTTTGAAAAACAGCTCATGAATTCAGTTTAAACTTAAAAATATTTGAGGGAAGATTTTTGCTGCTTTCCCCAGATGACATTTGATGGTGTCTGGAGACATTTTGGGGCTGTCAGAGCTTTTTTTTAAAAAAAAATCTAACTAGTTTTTCTTTTATTATTTTATTTTAGAATACTTTTTATTCCAAAGACAGGCAATTTTTTAACACATTTTTCCAGAAATAGCTTGAAGCAGGTTACATAAAAAATATATATACAATAAGTTTAAGGAGGGAAAATAGGAATAAGAAATCAAAGACCAAAGGATTTGCCAACATGGGGTCCACTTTGATGGAATAGAAGATTTCCATTAGCTCTGTTATTTTTGGAAAAGTCCTAATGAGTTTATCGGGCTTGCTAACAGAGCATAGGTTGGGGGTTACTTACAGAAGAGTGCTGCCCCCCCCCAATTTACAGCTGTGCTGGGAAGTCCACATTCAAACATAGATCCTGTGACTTCCTGACAGCCACACAAAATGGCAAGAGAGGTGCCTCTGGGCCTTCTCAGCTTATATATCCTTAGCCCCTCCCCTACATGCAGCTAAGGTCGACTGATTGGGTGGGAGGGGTAACTGACTCCCCCGTCAACTCCTTGACAAGTGTGGGAAGGAGGTGTGACTGTAGCTTGCTGGCATAGTGGTTGGAGGATGCTGCCAGGTATCACTCAACCCCTTCCTCCACTCTTACATTCTTTCTGCCAACCTCTTCCCCCAAAGTCCCTGAGCCTTGGAGGGGTTGATAGGTGTGAGATGATCTTCCTCCCATTGTGGTTAAGGCACTGAGCTTTTGGGTATGTTTTCCATGGGTTGTTGATCCATTTCAGTGGAATTCCATCTACTATAAAAACACAAACATCAAGAAGCAAGAACATCTAAACAGTGGCTGCTATAATAACCTATGGGTGTAAACACAAATGCTTGGACGTTACTTTAGCAGGTTTATCACATCCATCTAACAAAACAATTGCAGTGGCTTCCCTACTGGGGCCTATAGCTTCCTCTGCCACAGGGTGTTGGCCTGGTCTGTAGTACCCGTGTGTTCCACCCCTAGAAGCGGGCATTATATCCAATCAAAAATTTGCTGGTTGTACATAACACTAGATTTGCCGCTATTGCACCAGCAGGAACATCTTGTTTGGCATGTTGATAGTGCAGCATGTGGGGTCCGTTGTTGAGCAGAATTATAGGGGACAGTTCCCCCCCAGCTATCTGCTTATCTCTTTCTGGCACTATGAAAGCCACCCATCCAATGGCAGTGAGTTTCCAGCTTAATCCAAGCTTTATTTCTCCCTCTCCTGCACTCACATCATGTAGTGTCTTCAGCAATATATTTTATCATCCACTTCTGGTGTACAACCAACATTATGACAATGGCCTTTATGGTTTTGGGGACCTCCAGGGCCCCTCTGGCCAACAGCTCATAGAGGGGCAACCCACCTCTGGTACTAGGATTTTCATTTAACAACTGTATGAAGAACAGCCAGTCCTCTTAACTGCTGAGCCATCTCTCCAGCCCCATATAGTAACTATCTTAAAAAGCAAAAAAAAAAACCAACCAACAAAACAACCAAACAACATCAAAAAAATCATACTCAATTTATTTTTGACTTTTTTTGTTTTTAAACATTTATTTAGTTATTTTAAGTGTATGAGTGTTTTGCCTGTATGTATGTAAGTGCACATGCCTGAAGAGGCCGTTGGATCCCCTGGAACTGGAGTTATGTACATATGGTTGTTAACCGCCATGTGGATGCTGGGAACCAAACCTGGGTCCTTTGCAAGAGCAGCCAATGCTCTTAACCACTGAGTCATCTTCCAGCCCCTCAATTTTTTTTTGTATATTTTAAATTGAATTTTTGTGCATTTCATACACATCTTAATCATCTGTATACCCCCTTTCCCATTGACACCCTCCCATAATACCCCCACTGTATGTCATGCATTCTGTCATTTATGTTAAGGTTTATTGAGTCAAGTTAGTGTATGCAGATGTTCCTCAGTACAAATTCATTCACTGGTGTGTCTAGTCAGCCTGTCTAGAGTCCCTCCCTTAAAGAAGATCAGCCCTTCCTCACCCAGCAGTAATCAGCCACCAATAGTTCTTTGGTTAAGATTGGGGCCTGATGCCCATTTCAACAGTTCTATGCTGGATTTTTATCTGCCTGAGATTGCATGGGTCTTGTTCATGCTGTCACCATTGCTATAGGTTCATATGATCAAGGTCTCAGGAGGCTATAACACTCTATTTCCGTATGGTAATGCACCTCCTTCCCTAACTTTTACAATTATTCCACCCCCTCTTCCACAATTGACCCTGAGCCGTAGGTGGGTGAAGTTTGATATAGGAATCTTGTCCAAGGACCCACACTCTTCAAACTCTTATTGTCTATGCTTTGGCCATTTGTGACCCTTTGTGTTCATTGCCCTCTGTTGCATGAGGGAACTTGTTGATGAGAACTGAGAGATGCATTAGTATTCACTCTACTACTGAGTAGAACTCCATTGTGTAAATGTGTCACATTTTCATGATCCACTTGTCAGTTGAGGGACTCTTAGGTTGCTTCCATTTCTTAGCTATTATGAAAAGAGCAGCAACAAGCATGAATGTGTAAGTATCTCTGCAGTAGGATGAGTACTTTGTGTATATGCCAAGGAGTGGTACAACCATGTCATAAGGTAGTCTAGTTTTAGTTTTTTAAGAGTTCTCCACACTACTTTCCATACTGGTTGCACGACTTTGCAGTCCCACCAGCAATAAATGATCGTTCCCCTTTCCCCACATCCTCTCCAGCATTTGGTATCATTTGTTCTCTTTATCTTAGCCAGTCTGACTGGGTTAAGATGAAATCCTAAAGTGGTTTTAATTTGCATTTCCCTATTTACCAAGGATGTTGAACACCTTGGAAGGTGTTTCTTAGCTGTCTTTATTCTTCTTTTGAGAAATCTCTGTTCAGATCCATAGCCCATCTTTTAATAGGGTGATTTGTTTTCTTGATTCTTTGTTTTTTGAGTTCTTTATACATTCTGGATGTTAAACCTCTGTCAGATGTGTCACTGGTGATTTTCTCCCACTGTGGGTTTTCTTTTCACTTCGTTGGTTGTTTCTTTTGCTGTACAGAAGCTTTTTAGTTTAATGAGATGCCACTTATTATTGACCTTAATTCCTCAGAAGCTGATGTCCAATTTAGAAAATCCTTTCCTATACCTATGTCTTGTATGGTGCTGCCCATGTTTTCTTCTAACAGTTTTAGAGTTTCAGGTCTTTTTTGAGACAGGGTCTCCTGGTAGCCCCAGCCTCCCTGGAACTCACTGTGTAGACCAGGCTGGCCTTGAACTCACCTGCCTCTGCCTCCTGAGTGCTGGGATTAAAGATGTGCACCACCATGCCCGGCCTTAGATCTCTGATCTATTTGGTGTTAACTTTTGTGCAAGGTGAAAGATAAGGGTCTAGTTTCATTCTTCTACAGGTAGAGATCCAGTTTTTCCATTTGTTGAAGATGCTTTCTTTCCTTCACTGTGTATTCTTGACACCTTTGTCAAATATCAGGTGGCTGAAATTGTGTGTGATCATGTTTGGATCCTCAATTATGTTCCATGGATCTATGTGTCTGTTTTTGTGCCAGCACCATGCTGTTTTTATGACTATAGCTCTGTAATATAGTTTGAGATCTGGTATGGTAATCCTCCCTGTGTTGTTCTCTGTGCTCAGGCTTGCTTTGGCTATTTGGCATCTTTTGTGATTCTATATGGATCCCATGTTTTTTTTTCCTAATTTTGTGAAGAATGTCATGGGGATTTTGATTGGAATTGCATTGCCTTTATATATTGGTTTTGATCGAATGGTCTTTTTCACAATATTAATTCTTCCAATCCATAGCATGGGAGGACTGTCCCTCTCCTGGTGTCTTCCTCTATCTTTTTCTTCAAAGATGTAAAATTTTCACTGTAGAGATCTTTAATGTCTTTTGTCAAGTTTATTCCTAGATATTTTTTTGAGGCCATTATGAATGGAAGGGTTTCTGTGTACTCTTTTTTTTTTTTTTTTTTG